GGGGGGTCACTATATATGCCGTTATTACCCCATGTGCGTTCCAAATTTTGCGAGTTAGGGGGGTGTTTTTCAACTTCTAAAGCGGGCCCGCGCGGGAGCAAATAGGCCCCCCTTTACAAAGCTAATCCCGCAAAAAGCCCTTGGGATCGCTCAAGTCAAGCACCGCGCCCGCAGTAGGCCCCCCTCATGACGAACCACATAGTACCCCGCCCTAGGCCCCGAACGGGCGGCCCCGTAGCACACGAGAGTTGCAAGTAGTCTTCTTTGAGTTGATCACAAGTATTCCCTCCACTCTTTGCCCTCCATTTGTCTGCAAGACCTCGCAATAGGAGGTAGGCCCCCGGGTAGGACTCTTTCATTGTGTATGCAATAGAGGGTGGGATATTTTCATTGTGTATGCAATTGGGGGTGGTATTCTTCAATTGTGTCTGCAATAGGGGGTAGGGTTTTCCAATGTGCAGTTCGCACTAGGGGGGGGGCTATTATTTTTAGTGAGAATGCACATGGGGTAATGTTCTAATAGAGAGTGACCCCCCCCCCCGGGGCTAAATTATCAATTTGAGGCATGCTTGTAATTAGCCACAAGTTCCCTTCTCGCTTAACACTACGTTGGCGTACGACGTGTAACAGTCGGAGAGCCTGGTCAGTTTAGCTTGTAATAAGTAGTTCGGCGGCTTCTTAGATTCTGTGTTGCAAGTTCCCTCCTCGTCGAGGTAGTTCGAGAACAGTTTGTATTAGCTACACATTATTTTAGCGTCATCGACGGCTTTGACTGACCATGCAATCGTTTTATCGTGATTCTGTGTAGTTTGTACCTAAATCAAAGATCTTATAATGATAAGAGGTGACACTCCCTATCTAACGCTATGTAATTGGATTGCAAGTGCTGCCACCTAGTGACCAGCTTCATTAAAATGAATATAAACCATTGCAAGATAATACTTATCATTACATTTTGATGCTTTTTTATTGAATATGGCCATATAATTAAAACATCGGAGCAGAGTGACTATGTTCGTCAATCCCACATAATAAGCACGTGCTTAACTAAAATTCCTCAACAAATAGATAAGATTGACTGATCCTTGGCAATTATATTAATTAAATATCTAAATGTATCTATCTTACAAATGTTGTAATTTCATAACCTTTCTATTTCTTTTGCATGTTTTTGATGCACTGGTGTTAATATTAAACATTTTCAAAGTATGATGCAATCGTATTTTCATGTAAAATATCATCATTCTGTGGATTTGTCCAATGCATTACGCATCTTCACATGTAGTAATTAACACCCTGGCACAATTCTTTGGCAGTCAAACATAGTCTCTGTAAGACTCTTGTCATGTGCATGACAGATGGAAACACATTTTCAAAGCAGGTTTCCAAACTATCTGTAAAACCAACAAAACTGGAAGTTGGTATGACAAGCAACCCTGATTCATACTCTTTTTGTCTCAGAAATTCATAGCAATTTAGCAATTAACGACTTAGCAATTTGTATGCTCTCCTACTTTGATAAAAGATAGAAAGAGCAAGCATACGGTCAGATATGCTCTATCTGTTTCTCTTTTTTGATCTTATTGATAACAGCATTTGTGATTTTATAAACTCTACAGTCCGACCTGGGAGATATTGCCTTAAGCCAGCTACAATGGAGTCAATCTTTAATGTACTCTTACAAGATGTACGTTTTTTAATTCTAGATAGTTGTGTTCTGAGACGTTGCACATCTGTCTTGAGTTTTTTCTTTCGTGGAGTGTCCTGCTTGCTAGGTGGTTGCTGTGCTATTGACTCATCCTGCATATTCACACACAAGAAAAACCTATGTTCACACACAAGAAAAACCGCGATGCTAATCGCGATGGAAATACCGAGATAATTGTGCCCTTGTTCACACAGGCGGAAATATCTCGCTAATCGCCGAGCGGGATAATTCTATTAATCGAACTGCGCATGCCTGATATCAAGCCGGAATATAACCCTTCCGCTCGCGCGCGCGCGAATTATGTACTACCGGGATTCGAGTTCGGTGTTCGATTCCACGTACACGGCAGTGCAGTCGTTGGTAGTAGTCTAGCTCTGTTACGTTAACGTATGCTACTCTAGCTCTGTTACGTTAACGTATGCTACTCTAGCTCTGTTACGTTAACGTGTGCTACTCTAGCTCTGTTACGTTAACGTATGCTACTCTACGTCTGCACGTATTTACGTAAACACATCGTATGAGGGGATAGAAAATACCGGGATTATTTGCGCGAGCGTTCACACACACGCTGCGGTGCAATTATTCGCGCTAATTCCCAAATATCGCAGTCTAAAGTGCGATTTGCAGCGCGATGCTGATCGCGATACGTAGTGAGATTTTTGCGTTCACATTTGTAAAAATCTCGAGATTTCGATCGCGATGCAAAAACCGAGATTTGCATCCCGCTAATTCCCGCCAGTGTGAACGCGCCTATATATGCGCCTATGAACGCGCCTACATATGCCTATGTAATACAACTGGAATAGAATCATTTTATCCGAAGCAAAGAGCCTATAACATATCAGAGGTGTCACTCCTGAGATATATCATAATTGGGTCAACAGTGCGGCCACGTTGTTCAACATCGTTAAATGTGAAGGTGAACTAGTTACTTACTCTACAGACAGTGATACACAGCACAAAATTCATTGTATGAATTTCTAAGGCAAAAAGAGTATGCAAAATGTTTGCTTTTCATACCAACAAGATACCAAACAGATAATTCCATAAATTAAATAATTGGAATTGGAATAAATCCTTAATCAAATTACATGATGATATATAGCGAGTGACACATAGGCTCTTTGGGCTGGCTCTGTATAGGCTCTTTGGTAAAAGGAGGGTACAGGTATCATCATGTTTACCTTATTGCATATTATCTAAAAATGGTTAAAGAGTAGCCATGCACTGGTACTGTACAAAACATGCAATATATATATATATATATATATATATCTCCTGATATATATGTATATACAGTTTTTTTTTCTTGCTTGCTGGAGTAGCAGTTGGATGACATGAAGGAGATCTCTTGGCAGGAAAGGGTCTGGATGACTCGGATTTGGTCCATTGAATATAGTGGGGACAGCATTCCACACTTATTTTGCATGTGTTGTGTTCATAAATTGGCTGTCCTCGAAATGATGAGCGCACAGTTGCCTATTTCGGTTAAGATACTCTGATGAATATTGGTCTAAATCAGCTCTTCTGGTGTTCACTACCCATTTTCTACACCTGTCAAATAAGTATAATATGCATTTCATTAGTTTACAAACATTGTGGCTTGTTTAATGCTGTTAATTTATTGGGTGAGTGGCGAGTGTCTATTTCTGGCGAGTGTCACCTCTTATCATTATAAGCTCTTTGCCTAAATGTATGTCCGAAGAGTTTTTACCATCTTTGGCAAAAAAAGGATTTAAAAGTTTTTATGCATGAAAAAAGTATGAAAAAAGTATAAAAAGTATATTTTCTTTAAAGACGTATAATACTTAAAAAAAAGTATAAAGTGGCAGCACTGAATTAATCTCGTAAACCTTAATAACACTGGAATGTACATGTCTAGCTCGATTGCTTCTAACGTACACCGCATAATTGATTTCTAACACTAACCCACATATAGTTTAATTTTCAGTTTTGATGCCAAGCTTAATTGGCACTTATCTTGGTTTATTCATTCGATCGTCATGTAGTGTTTAGCAATACGGGGTTGATACCATATAGGTCCTGCTATCATGTATGTAGATCTAGTGTTAGATTAGTTAATAATTACAGCGGTTATGCTAGAAAGTGTGCATTGTTTATTTTAGAATTTGGACGCACAATCCCTTTATCACTTCACCATCACGTATAAACAGGTGCAGTCGTACACAATATAACCGTGGGTATAACACACTATCGTTTGGCTGAAATATTTGATAACCGAGAGTGTATTTTCACTGTTACATTATATTTACTTGATATATATCATTATAATAGCATATGTAAATACAGTATATACGCCATATCTCTAAATTACCCATCGCATATACGTAGGCCTACCTATATCTATATATTTTATCATTAAATATAACTACCCGAGTGAATCTTTCAGGCAATTCATCTAAGAATTTGTATAGCCTATTAGACTATTCTGCTACCTATGCATACTATTCACACATGTATCAAACATCGATTTGGAAATGTTGATGAATGCAGAGCCATTCTATATACATGCATATACTATAGCGCGTGGTTCCTTCTTTTGCTAATATTTTAATGTTCTCAACGAATCTTTTTCTCACATTCAGCAAGCACGTTGAATTCGTATGAACAAACATATGCAACTAAACTGCGTCGACAATTGTAAATAACCTTGTGCGAAATGCTTGGTTCGTTTATTAAGATTCTATCGCGGAATCAACACAATAGAAAACGCACCGTGGCGCAACGGCGCAGCCCTGGCGCACTCTGACGCTTAATTACTGTTCCTCTGAAAAAGATAGACAATTATTTACAGACAATTAAATGAAGTTCGCGTTGTATAATGTTTTCCAAACAAACACACAAACATAGAAATGCAATCGCTGGCTGTACGTACCCTACGATCGTAATAGAATATACAACCGGGTGGTGTAAAATGCAGACGAATATGCTCGATATGTGGTCAAAAGATAATCTAGTAATGCAACAGGTATTCCAGAATACGAGCAGGTAATCCCTTATTCCTCTTACTGCATGGGTACACTGGCAACGAATACTGTGCGTATACTGTATGTCATAAACTTGCACAATGGTGTGGTTCCAGCGACCTCGGTGTGTTTCAATATCATATAAGCCCCTATACACGCAGAATGATACGCGCCTACATAATGCGCGCGCACGCACGCACGCACGCACGCACGCACGCACGCACGCACGCACATACATGTATATCAGGAGTAGATAATAGGGACTATATCTATATACCCTATTATCTACTCCTGATGTATATATA